AGTCTTTCTATATTCGCGATCCCCAATTTGCAAACAATGGATTGTTTCGATAAAGCGGTGAGAAAAATTCGAGGAGAAAGAAATGAGGGATAATATTTTTCGTGTATTTGAAAAAATGCATTTGTACAAATGCAAATGTTCACCGAAAAAAAAAAAGATTTGTTAACTTGACTTAATGTATATTATATTTAATTGAAATATTTTATATGTTCAATTAACAAGATAATATTTAGTTGAAAGGTTTAGTCAAGTCAACAAATTTTTATACTACGAAACGAAAGACGATTTTTTAAAAAGTTTGTTACTCAATATTAATCTGTGATCCATTAATATGGAAAAAGAAATCTGTAACGTGCATAATTTATGCATTATATATAAAATATTCGTACAAAAATAGATGCAACGTTGAGACTTCGTTCTCTAGAGATGTACCTTCATGTCGGAGCGGCGATATATTGCACTCGTGCGCGTTTTTAATTTAATTTCGAATTTGCATGCTACATTATTCTCCGTCACGGGCGATCGGGGATCCGTTGATAAAATTGATAATAATAAAAAATAATGAATATTCATTCCGTAATTACGTCCATTCATTATACATGACGTACCATTAAATTAGTATTAGAATTATTATACATGGGTTAACGTGATTTTTCACGTGATATAAATCACACACCGGAGAGACATGAGACTAAGAGATTTAAATACGGCAAGAGCGGAAAAGGAGTCCAATTTTTCGCTCTTGCAATTTTATTAAAATTCTAGCACGCGCTCAAATCGTTCGTGGAAAAATCGCATAATGTGCCGTTAAAACTCCTTCTCCGCGATATGAGTCCGCCGAGAACCGGGAGAACGTAATTGTCAGTGCATCCTTGCGGAGTGCATCCCTCCTTCCGCATCCCACGGGAACGCGCTCGTTAACTCGCGAGAGTGCGCCGAAAGCTGACGCTTACTTTCGCCAACCTCCCGAGGAAGGAGCCTTGCCGCGCGGCAACACATCCCCACATACGCGTGCGGTTATGGTAATGCGTGGTTTGAGGTGCGTGTTAGCCGGCCCTCGTAATGGTAACGAGACGGTCTCTCACCATCATCATCAACATCCAGACGACGCGATGCGAACGATCAACGACTCACCAGTAAGACGCACGGCCCTCTCTCAAAGGTGCCGACCGCGATCCGTTCTCTGGCTATTTTTAACCTGTTTTCGTGTCCCTTATGCCTCTCTCTTCCTCGCTGTTTTTGTCTTTCCATCTCTCTCTCTCTCCTTTTACATTCTTCGGATGTATAGTTGTATTATGTTTTTACTAGTCAAAAAAGGTACACTTGGCATTGCCCCAAATTCTAATTATGATTTACAATTGAATAATACACAGAGAGAATTTTCTCTTCAAATTTACCCTGAAAATCATGGTAATCGTGGGACAATATGGTGTTGGAAGAATTTTTCTGATTAATATTTACCGCAATAAAAATATTAATATCTACCACAACAAGATATTAAAATATACTCGACTAATTTTACTATGTGCATATTAATATTTTTTTATTGTGGTAAATATTAATCAGAGAAACTCATAAAATTCTTCCAACACCATATTATCCCACGATTACCATGATTTCCAGGGTGAATTCTAAGAGAAAATTCTCCTCCTAGAGAGCAAAAATTTATTTTAAAAAACATACACTCTCCTTATACAATATGGATGTGAAAGCAATTAAAAATTAAATTACGTAAAAATTAATCAAAACATACGTAATTATACATTTATATCATTCTGATTAATATGTTTAAACGTATCAATGAATTATGTACATACTTTTACAGTTTCATTCTTTCCTATATGTTCTTAGGGAATCCGCGTCCCAGAGTATGAATAAATTTTCCCTCTCTTTATCCCTTTCTTTCTTTCGTACTTGTATATTCCGCGCATCGATGGAATGCCACGCATCACTAAACACGAGAGTCAGTCAACCTCTCGAGGGAGAATCAGGTGTGGAACAAATGAATTAGCGACGGAGGAGACGGATCAGCCGGCTCCTTAATCTCGCGGAAGCGAATGCTTCTTTTGGCGAGAAGAGAATCGTAAAACAGGGCATCGCCGTTTCTGCTCTGATATTCAAGTATCGAGATCATTTACTTGCGCGAAAAAAATTAAAGAGATCGATTGTATATTTTGTTTTATATTTTTTGACGATAAAATTTAAAAGTATTTTAACTAATATTAATGTTCAATTTTTTATTAAATATTAAGAATGATATTTGCAAAATATTGATACGACTTAAAAATAATTGTTAGACTTTTCAGTTATATGATGTTTACGAGAAATATGAATCATGCTCCCAATATTATTCTCTTAAACATTGACATTGTCAATTTTTAAAGTAAAGTTTTAAAAATGAAAATTTTGGATGCTAAAGTAAATTCTTTCTTTTTTTTTAATTAAACAAAGTAATTTTTCAACAATTGTATAATATACATACAAATCAGAATTATTGATAATTTTCTAATGTCTTATTTATATTATATTAAAACTTTTATTTCGCGCATTCGTATAGTTAATAAAAATAAAGTTAAAATTCAGTCATATAAAAATTGCTTATTATTTTATTTTTGATAAAAATTTGAAAAAGCATGCGCATATCAAATCATACAGAAAAAAAAATATATATATATATCGTAGATACAGAAATTTCAAGAAGAATTTGTGTGCATTTGAGATAAAATAAAAAAAAGTACGAGCAAAATCGTATCAATATCAGGCAGTGAAGCTGAGTTTAATATTGCGAGAATTGAGATCGGAAATAATCCCAATGGGAAATGTTTCCAATTATCCGTTAATAATTAAACTTGTATGACTGTTTCAGCTTATAAAATCGTAATATATTTATTATGACGAAGAAAATTATGATTTATATAAAATTCATTCAACAATCAGGAAAAATTATTAAAAATAGGACTGATACATCGTTTAACAAATTTCTCCTAATTATTACTTTCACATATGAATTATATTTATTATTAATTACACTATATCTAAAAATTCAATTCATATTTCCCATACCCGAAAATTTCAATCGTTTAAAATCAATTGAGAGAACATGAAACATATGCATATTATACTTGATAAATTGAGAAGAGTCAATTCAATTACATTATTTACAATGAAATGTCCTGACAAATATCGTTAAGGAGATGCCTTCGTCAAGGAAGGCGACAACAAAAATTTTGCAGCAAAAAGTCTCTCTTTTCTCTTTCTCTTTCTTTCACTCTTTCTCTCTCACTATCACGTGTACTCGTGATAACAAAATATCGATCGATGCGCAAATACCAGAGCTCTGGCACAAATGCCACGAGTGCATCGTACCTCGCCTCGCCTCGTCGTAAAAAGCGCTTCAGATCGCGGTCATTTATCTACGGCGTGATTCATCTCTTTGACTGCGGCGCACGGTATCTTTAAACGTTTTACCTGCTACCAGATTCCCTGCAGCTAGTATACGGTGTGCCGCCAGTCCAAGTAACAGCCATCACTTTGTCGGCCTTTGTCACGGGGATTATGCGCCGGGTGGCAAATTATGACGGACACCTTCACGCCCAGGACACCCTCTAATGCGCCGGCTACAGAGCCGGCAAAAAGAAAGAAAGAGAGAAAGAGGAGGAGAGAAAGAGAGAGAGAGAGAGAGAATCGCGAGGATCCTTAACACACATTATAGTACGTGTTCCTTGAGAGGAAGCTCTAAATTATGCAAAAGTAGTTCATACAGTATGTAATTTTAATAGAAACTATTGTACTCACCAGAAAAGACATATGATTAAATAATAGTTAAACGTGAGCAAAGTTAAAATATTGTAAAAAGTCAATCCATCATATTTCACATAAATTCAAATAAGAAGCGACGTTTTTAAAGTTCATAGATATTAAAAATATTTTGAAAAATTAAAATATTATAATCTCATAAAAAATAAAAGTATATTTGTAGTCTATGATTATACGACTGGTTTTTCAATTATAATAGTTGAACGTGAGCGATAAAGTTACAATATTGTAAAAAATTAATCATCAGATTTCGCACAAATTCAAATAAGAAGCGAAATTTTAAAAGTTTATATAAATATTAAAAATATTTTGAAAAATTAAAATATTAATCTTATAAAAAATACATGTATATTTATAGTTTATGATTATACGCGATTGGTTTTTCAATTATATAATAGTTAAATGTGAACGATAAAGTTAAAATATTGTAAAAAATCAGAGAATTGCGAGGATCCTTAACACACTTTATAGTACCTACGTCTTCCTTGAGAGGAAGCTCTAAATTATGCAAAAGTAATCCATACAGTATATAATTTTAATAGAAACTATTGTACTCACCAGCAAATATTTAATAAAAATATTGTACTCACCAGAAAAGACATGATTAAATAATAGTTGAACGTGGGCGATAAAGTTAAAATATATTATTGTAAAAAATCAAGCCATCATATTTCGCATAAATTCAAATAAGAAACGAAATTTTTAAAGTTTATAAATATTAAAAATATTTTTAAAAATTAAAATATTAATCTCTTATAAAAAATAAAAGTATATTTGTATAGTCTATGATTATACGACTGGTTTTTCAATTATAACAGTTGAACGTGAGAGATATAGTTAAAATATTGTAAAAAATTAATCCATCACATTTCTCATAAATTCAAAGAAGCAAAATTTTCAAAGTTTATAAATATTAAAAATATTTCGAAAAATTAAAATATTAATCTCTTATAAAAAATAAAAGTATATTTGTCTATAGATTATACAATTGTGCGAAAGTGCCGAAAGAGAACGAAACGTTGTGATCATCAGTTATTAATTATGTAACAAAATTAATATTTCAGAATTCAACAAATCGAAAAAATTATTCCATATTTATGACCGTTTCAAAATGTACAGTAGCAGGAAATAGGTTATCTGAATTTTTTATCCTACCTCTCAATATTATAAAATTTGTCACTCACCGACTGATGCATAGCAGTGGAGTTGTTGATTTTGTTGTAGTTATCGTATTGTCTGTAACATACAAATATAAAATTCAAATTATAACAACGTGCAAAATATTTAATATTTCAAAAAATGATTATTGGACGAGTCAAACATTATATTCAATGACATACAAGAGCAGAATATTATTTCCAGTTATAAGTTAAAAAAATAGTATATTTACTAATTATTAAAATCTGTCATCAATTTATTGATAAAAGAATCATAATTAGATACTATTTTCAATTACGAATTAACAATATAAGAATTAAATCGTGGATTTGAGGCTATAAAAAACAAATTAACATTCTGCGAAAAAAATGAAAACATTTGCCTCAGGATATTGCCGAACTATATCCTCGGATTTAAATCGGCTTTTCAATCCTCTTTTCTCGATAGTTCTTGAATATCCTCACTCAGAGCGTAACATAGAACTACCTTTCGAAAACTCACACCAGCGAGCTGATTTACGGCATAATAAAGCGGTTAAGCGCAAAATGGAAGCTCACCCGTCCGAGTCGTCTACTTTATTTACGACCTCCCCGAAAGTTCCGATTCAACGCGGATTCTTGAAATCGCTTCGAGTCTGTCGCTACGTTTTCCCGATAATCTGTGGTTACGCGAAAAGTATACGACAAGAAGGAATCATGCCACTTTCGGTCACCTCTAACTTTTGCAGTAACAGAGGTATTATTCGCCCGATATTTAATGTCGATGAACCGTGGAACGTTTTTCGCTCAATTGTCTTCAATTTCTTAAGAAATCTAAAACCTTTCGTCATCCTGATATTTCTAATTGAGCTAAACAGTACAAGAATTTTCTATGGATTGATGAAAAAAAAAATAAGATTACAATTCAGAGAATCTTTGTCGTCTTACATAAGAACTTATGTAAGAAACAGGTTCTCCTTTAAAGATATGAATTCTTTGAATTCTAAAAAAAGGTTTTATAAATATATAAACAATATGAAAATTATAATTAAATTGCGAATTAGATAATAATTCTTCTTAGAGTCAACACCGTATTTTCAAGAATTTTTTTTTATTAAAAAAAATTATTGCAAAATTATTACTGTATGTACATATAAAGATGTGCGTGCATGTATTATGAATGTGTGTTTACGTGTGTAAATGTGTAGATGATTGTACACGCACAAAGGCCAAAAAAAATAATTATAGCTGACAGCATTTTTGAAATTAATCTTCTGAGAGAGAATAAAAAATAGCCAATGCTGTTTCGGAAAACTAGATGCTGTAGATGTATATGACAACTAATTGATATTTTAATTAAATAGAAAAATTGAAATCTCTTTCTCTAACTCACTTTAAATTAAACAAAAAGAATTTCGTTATTCATATTGACTATATTTATGTACTTTTCAAGCTTAATTTACTCAAAAGCTCTTAATTCACCAATCACTCAAGATCCAATCTTTAATTAATCAAAGACTTTATAATCGAAACTGTTTTCTTTTCTATGAATATACAATTATAGGTCTCCTATCATTTTTAGAGCGGTTGTTAATTTCGAATATTATAATGTACGATCGATAAGATATTTTAAATTAGACATTCGCTTTTCGCGTTAATCGCGACACTGCGAGACAATTCTCGGCCGCCGATCGACGATCGCGGTGTAAAATCACGATTTTTTCGCGGCATCGACGCGATGCAAAGGCGAAGACGAAAGAGCAGTGAGCTTCCTTTCCTTTTTGCTTCCGTTGCTCCGTATGGAGCGGAACCCAATTCACCGTTTGCGGCCTATTATGCCTGATCATAATTGCGTCGCAACAACGTTTCTCCTTCCTACTATCCGCAATGTTGGCGGCGGCCTTTCATCTCGGCCGAGATCGAGACCTAGCTTCTGTTTCCGAGGTGTTTCCGCCGCCGGCTACCGTTCTGGAAGCTGGAACTTGATCTTAAGTAGTCGCTTTCGTGAAAGAAAGACAGGAGGCCGAGGGACGGTGGAGGAACGTTGTTGCGGTAAAACACGCCAAGAACACCGACAGAGATGATAGTCGGACGCGAGATAAAGAGGGAGAGTGGCGCCGTGTAGCTCAGCGTCGTCGTTATAGTCGTTTTTTAAATTATTCCTGCGGTTGCTCGTTTGTAACGTAGCCCGCGATGTGTTGGCCCGATATCGACGATACGCGTTCATATAAAAATCGCCGAAAAAGAAAAGTCCATCGATGAGAACCGAGGATTGATGAACATTCGTTATTCCAATAACGTTTCGATAAAATGATTTAATGAAATATTAATTAATCAAATAATAATTATTATGTATATGTGCGACAATTTTACAAGTTGTATTTTTCGTACAAACAAGATAGCAAAATGATTGATTTGAAAGCAGTTTGCAGTTTAATGATGATTGTCTTTTTTAAGCTTAAAATCGTGGAAATTTTTCATTAATATATCGACAATATTATTGGACATATAAAAATTAGCATAGAAGGATTATCAATACAAATAATGTACATAATTTCGTTGTCAACATATCTGTTATAAATTGATAGTAAAGATCAGAAGTATCAGTTCTGAATGTTACTTTTGATTTTGATATTTCAAATTTTCAGTAATACCTAAAATATTTAATATTTGTGTATGACAAATATTAAAAGCTTCGCATGATAAAAAAATTATTCTTGATACGTGCACTGAAAAAATTTATTGAATTCAAATAAACATTTTTATTTCAATACTGTCTTACAAATTATTTATTTGAAATTAATAATATTGATTTGATGAGAAAAATATTTATTTGATAAGGAAACCATTTTCAAAACAGATAAATATTCATTTGTTTCAAATAAATAATTTGTGAGACAGTATTAAAATAATAATATTTATTAATTTAATATTTATTTTCAGTGTATAAATACCATTTAATAAGAAAATTGTTTTGATTATTTTAACATTATGTGTTCTCTCCCCAACATTTATTTCGCAACAGAAAATGTGATTAACTGAGATTGCTGAGAAAGCATAGAGAAAAATTAAAGATATACATTATCGAGACTTCGTGTACGCGTGTTTTAGATTATCCTGTACCTAGTGGCTTTGAGCCTAACGATAGTTGCCGAGGACAAGTTCAAGAATACGGTCTCGGTTTCCTCGAGTTCGTCGGCAGAGATCCAGAGCAACACGATACAGAAGTTGATGAGCATCTTGGGGAAGTACGGGCTAGATGATCAGAGAGGTCTGAAAAGAGTCTACCTAAGCAACAGGTCGATCACTTGCAATGACGGATCGCAGGCCGGTTTCTACCTACGAAAGTCTCATGGCTCTAGGCGCTGGATCATGTACCTGGAGGGCGGCTGGTATTGCTACGATCAAAAGAGCTGCAGGGCTAGATGGATGCGGGTACGGCATCTGATGACGTCAACCCAGTGGCCCGAGACACGCGATGGTGGGTGATCGCTCGATAGCTTATAATTATACGTCGCGCGGAACGGAAATGATTTTCTGCTTGTGCATCCGAGTATCGAATGCTCGCGCTGCATCGCAAATTAATTTATGTGATCCTTCATGATGAATGCGCATTCTTGAACGTTCGCATTACCTCGCACGGTTCATTTTAATAATATATATCCGCTGCATGTCAATGTGTAAAAATATGCTTTGTTGTGGATTGTAATTTATTACAACGATAATGTATTATAAATCTTATTTTTTATCCAATTTATATGTATCAGACATATGTTCTCAATTTTTTTTCATTAGCATTTATACACGATATTTCATCATCGGATATTCAATCAGTCGTTGATATAATTTAATAATCTTTTAATTAGTATTAAAAATATCTCTTGGCAGTGAGTCTTAATAAATCTCTGTTAAATCTTTTTTATTCATAATCTTAAGATTTAATTTGCCTCTGTAAATTTTTAATATTCAATAATGATGAATTCAATAATTAGAAGAATATTATTATATAAATATGTATGTACATATATTATCACTGATTGTCGAAATAAAATTGTTCACAATTTTTTTCAGTGGGTGGAATACTCTCGCCGAATCCCGATGAAAATCCATTCTTTTGGGGTGCGAATCACGTGTAGGTATTGTCCATCGTATAATCGAGTTAGTGTTGTCCCGCCACAAGCAAGATTTTTCCGTAACGATGCTGTTATCGCTTCCACAGTTTTGTTCCTTATTGCACGAGCGATAGCTGGAGCGGCACCAGGGCATTCCGAGCGCCGGACGACATGTTCTCGTTTATGGGGGCAGAGATCGTGATCCAAATCGTCCGGGACTTGGTTCCCCTTGGCCTCGAAAATGCGAGCGCCTTTCTTCTCGCCGGTAGCAGCGCGGGCGGTACCGGCGTCATGCTGAACCTGGATCGCGTTCAGAATCTAGTGCACCACGAATTGGGTACGATGCGTCCAGATTGATTTATCAATTAATTATCCGCCCAATTACACTGCTCTCGAGGCTGTTATTGATAGCAGTTTGCAATTTTCCCGATAATAAATATTTGTTATTCGACAAATTAGTTAGGTGAATCAGAAATGAGAAAATCATGATAAAACGTGAACATTTATTGTCAATATTATCATTTAAACATCATATATCAAACATATATATATATACATCGTATATAAGTAGATTATTGAAAAAATCCTATTATATATATATATAATTTTTTAAATAATATTTATTATTTAGAAAGAAAAGAATAGTCTATATATAAAATATTAGATTGCAGATTGGAAATCAAATATTTTTTCAAAAATCGATAAACATTTTTCTTCTGTACGAGTTCGTTAATTTATCTCCAATAGTTATCTGTGATACATAAAAGTGATAAGATTTATATATTCGCGCAGGCTTGAGGCACATTGCTATACGCGGTGTGTCGGATTCCGGATGGTTTCTTGATAAAGTACCTTACCCTCCAAAAGGTCTGTCGCCTGTCGATGCGATACAAAATGGAATGGAATTGTGGAAGTCACGAATGCCCCGCAATTGCGTACTTAAATATCCTAAAGAACCGTGGAGATGTTTCTTTGGATATCGACTTTATCCAACCCTGTCTGGTAAGTTTATGAAGTATTATGACGAAAATTTGACATAGCTGCATTGAATATAAAATATCTGTAGAGAAACTCTTAAATTTTCATTTAATATTTTAGCACCGTTGTTTGTCTTCCAATGGATATTTGATGAGGCCCAGATGAGAGCCTACAATGTAGCTGCACCGTTAACGAGACAAGAATGGGACTATATACATAAAATGGGTGACACTCTACGGCATACATTAGAAAATGTTACCGCAGTTTTTGCCCCGAGCTGTATTAGTCATAGTGTTTTGACGAAGAGAGATTGGAAGATGATTAAGATAGATGAAGTCTCCCTTGCACAGGCATTGTTTTGTTGGGATCACATGCCGATCGGAAATCATCGCAGAAACAATATATACAATAAGTAAGTATATATGTATGTGTGGTGTGAAACTGGACGATCAAAGACACAAAAAATTGATATTGCATTGTTTGTCGAAAAAATATTTGTAGCGCTAGTTGCTGCGAGTTTATTTCGACAAATAAATCAATGTCGATGAGACTTCGAAGATGTAATGTTATTTTTTGTTTGGCTGTCAGCACTCATTCGCAAATCGAGACCAATCAACTGTGCGGGAAGTCGCTGAAAAAGCTATTGCGTTCTGGTATCAGAAAGGGAAACGGTACGTCGATCGAAGGAAAAAGCAAAGCTGGATCTTCTACGGAAACGCAAAAAGCTCAATTGGCTGTCGTTGGCAAAACGCTGAAGAGAAGACCGGCATCCGGCTCGATTCAAGAACAGGAGAATAAGAAGAGGCGAAGGAAATACAAAGGCAGAAGAAGAGAGAGGATGAGGGCTAAAGAAGAGAGGTTAAAGAAGAAAGAGAAGCACGAGCGAAGAAAAGGCGCCGGTAAAGTTTAGCAATGCGCAAACATGTTTTGAATCTTGTTCAATAACAGTCGGCATTCTTCGAATAGTTTAACGCTGTTTTATACAATTATACAAATACAAATTGAATATAAAATTCATTTGCATTTTATCGGTGATAAAATTTAATATTTCGAAATTTATTATTAATCTCCCTCTCAAAAAAGATATATATATTATAATTTTTTTACGCGATTTGCATTAACAAATATTTCTTTTATGCAAATGTTCTCGCAGGTCGTCGCAAGCAAATTAATGGCAACAATCATACGGTCATATTTAACGGCACTAGACCGCAACGATCGGTAATACCGTCGAAGAAACGGAAGTGCGTCGAGGACTGCCATTTCCGTATGATCGAGCGCTGTACTTGGCCTCAATGTAACCATAGCTGTCCTAAGTTGCATAATCCCTTTACGGGCGAGGAAATGGATCTTATCGAATTACTTAAGAGCTTCGGTCTGGACATGAAAAGCGTCGCGAACGCTCTTGGTATTGATATACATACGTTGATTAGTATGGACCAAGAGAAGTTGGTAAATCTTCTAACACAACGCGCAAACTAGCGAAAGGTATTCTATCCTAATGATTATGCAGGATGCTCCTGCTTGCTTTATCGATATCTCTGTTGACATATTTAAGAAGTCAGATATTTACGTACAATTCGAAAATATGTATATATTATGTTTCATGACGTGGAATGATTCATATCAGCGTTTTCGTCGGTATCAATGTAGTATAGTACTTAAATTCGAAAGAATATATTCATTGTTAATAAGATATATTCAGAATTGAAAGCAGTAAATTTTTAACAAAATTAGACGTATAGATATGTAAAAATAAAATATAACTTGTCCTATCTTTCTTCTAATATAACGATAACTTGAAAATGAATAAATTAAAATTAAAATTTAGGTAAGAAACGGGCTACTAAAAAACTAGGCGCAGAAATTAGGCGCAACAAACTTGTTTTAAAATTTATTTTAAATTTTAATTTTTTTAGTCCTTTCTTTGGACCAGCCTTCAGTAGATTGATTAATAAAAAATTCATATGTCTTGATCTACATCTTCATCTTACGTCTTTGGAAAGTCTTCTATTCTCACCCGTTAAAAAATGATGAGAATAATTCGAAAAGTCAAACAAAAGTTCACGAATAATAGTGTAAGTTAAAGAAAATAATGTAAAAAAATTTTATGATGAAAAATTGAGTGAAAGAAGAATAAATGCAGAGGACTCACCAAAGCGATCGAAGACGAGATTAAGAACAAGGAGTGAAATATGACCTCAACGATATATAAAAGAGTATAGAGGTGTGTAAAATATAAATAATGACATACGTAAGTGAATCGTCAGCACGTAAGTGCGTAAAATTCAAATATTTACAGCTTTACGATACTAATAAATAATAATAGATTTGTATAATTGTCAGATATATATTTAGCCAAAGTTCGAGAAAATATATTTCTTTTAGGCTTGACGACAATCTTTATGTCGGATATCTTTGCGTATCGTAGATTTAATTAAAAATGGAGACTGCCATTTAATCGCCGATGAATATTAGGCCCGCGTCAGAGAAACAGATAAAGTATAATTTTTTTATGTAATAGGCAACGAGCGAAATCGCAATGCTTAAATTAGAGAAATGTTACGCGTACAACCAAAATAAATGTATATAATTTTATAGAAGAATCTTTGATGATTCTTTTCCAGAACTCGTTTTGCAAAAAGGACGAGAAAACCTAAAGAATAGATATTTCGATCGGTCTTATTGCCGACACGGATAAGGAAAGATAAGAGTTCTGGCGTGTAGAAAGTGTATATTTCATTATAACTATATAGTTACATGAATATTTTAATTTATTATAGTTATAGGCAAAATATAACGAAGCACGTAACTATGTTCTACGAATTAATTCACGGCGTACAGTTTATCGCTGAAATCGAGCAAGAATGCTGTTTTAAAAAAACTCTTTCAATCTTGTATTTGTTCCGATGCAAAGTACTTTTAATTTTGATTATTTTTTGTTGTCAAAAAAGATCCTTTTCTTTATATGTATCTCTATATATTTTTGTATTCGCCACTAAATCAGTCAAAGATCTAATTTGCATATCATCTGAAATTTAATTTGCGTATCTTTTGAGATCACTTGAGTCTAAATTAGTTACACGCACGAAAGACTGTACGGAGGATCTTTCAATGACAAACGGAACTGATTTTCTAATTTAATGTCGGCACGGAAATTTACCAGCAAACAACAACGATTAAACGACCGACAAAGTAGCTTCATAGACTGATTAAATTATCTACCTCAACGAATCAAATTGTATTAACGTCCTTCATGTACTATAATTGTCAGCTTAGAGCATCACGATAAGAACAGTTACTGTAAGTTAATGCGCGTAAAAGTATATTGTACTTATGTCTTATGCTCTGTAAATAACAGGTAATGTGTTATTTATTTAACGTAGAGTAGTTTGCGATTGCAGCGACATATGCATAATTTTTCGTTGCGTGAATACATACATATATATAATTCATTGACAGTATTAATGAAAAGTATCGTAATTATTATTTAATTCTTCAGAAGAATTATTTGTATAATAATTTTTTTCTTGTCAGTATTTTGTTTAAAATTTTGTTACGAATAAAAATAAAATATTAACTTAATATGGAGCGTACATGAATTAGAGTTACAATTGCTTTTTATGATTCATAAAAGATCATTGGAAAATAATTAAAAATGTCAAAAAATGCAGTTACAATACTTTTCATTGGTGCCATCAATATTGATATTTGAAATTGAATAATATCGATATTGATATTTGAAATGATATTTTGAGATTTAATTTATTTTCTCCCTTTTTAAATTATGACCACATCTTTTGGATGTGAATGGGATCGGAATATAACGAAATATTTCAATATTTCAGCTTTTATTTGCATATACCATATAAAATGTAATGTTATCTTTTAAAGAAGCATGACACTGTAAATAAATTGTATATCTGTTGTATTGACTTGATGTTTAGTCATTTATTCATATTATTTATTAATCATTTTTGTCTTTTGTGTACAGACCAATAATTTCTAATAAAATCTACATATTATCACATCTATTATTTTATATCTATTAATTCAAATACAGATATACATTTTTCATTTATTTCATAAATGGGACGAAGAGCTCGTAAAGAAGAATTTTTATTCCAATATTTCAATTGAAAGTGTCATAGTAAGATCCACGCGAGCAATATTTGCAAAATATTATATACGCATATTGCAACGCGAAACCGATAGGCAGATTTGTAACATACTCGCGATCGATCTATCCCGACCAAATGTAGCTTTATGCTTCATAAAATGTCGAACGATAAATCGCATTCTATACGTTCGGTCTCTATACCTGTACGTAACGATTAGCTTGTTTGCTCTCACGACGCGTTCCCTCCTGACACGCAGTGTCCCCTGTGCACGATGCACGAGGGCGATAATTCAATGTAGAAACTGAATCCGTTCTCCCAACCTCTCGCGATCGGTCGAATGACCTCGCATCCATCGGCGACTCTCCCTCGAAACTATAAATTTTATGATGGCATATGCAGGAAATGATATTTAATGTCGACAGATCAGACCGGGCCCGACCCCGGGTATACGCGTACGCAGCTGATAGCCAATGTGATAGAGAGGCGGACGTGAGAGGAGAGAGAAGGAAGAAATGAGTGAACCCTGGTCCCTTCAATTAATGTGTCCGAGGAAGTGACGGAAGGATGGAAGCCGCAATGTGCTTGAATGTTGCCCATAAGCGGGCTCTGTATTAAACTGCTCCGGTTACCGGCAGCTCGTTCGGCTGTCCATCGTTCAGTCACTGGATTGTCCGCCGCGCCTGTTGGCAGGACACCTGAATTCTGGTTTTTTTTTTTCGCACGACTTTCATTTCGCGCGTTTCGGGGTTTCCCGATGCGACGATAATGTTTGACCCGATCGAGGGATCCTTATATGCGTGGCAAAAGTGAGACGTGATTGGAGGAATCGAAAAAAATCGATCGTTGAACGCGGTAGTGGAGGAGAATTGTATTTCTTAAATCGCACATTCCATTGCGCATGGATAATTTTTCACTCGCGAAGAGAGTGGGATGAATTTTCGATACGAAACATAATACTATTATCAATGACGTGGATAAATTTGATGGCGAGTTTCAGTTCCACTGTTGCTTAATTTTTGAACTGGTCTAAAAATATAAAAGTAAAAACTGAAAGAAAAAAAAAACATTGCCCTATTTTTTATTTAACTTTTCTATTGTATATTTTCTATTTTTCTATATTTTTTTAAATTTATTTTAAATAGGAAGTATTTCTAACTCTCCAAAAGTGAAAAATTATTTATCATTATTTAACAAAGATTTGACGGCGCGTTAATGTGTAAATAAATTGCAAATTTCGAAAACTTTAGTTCTCGTGTCAATCGTTATGCTCGAACAGATAAGAAACTGTCTGGTTAAAATACGAGTGTACGACGATTGTTGATATTGGAAGATTGAAAGCGATAGATAAATAATTTTCATCGAAATCTCTCATCGTTTTAATTATGCAGAAAGGAATTGTTTTGCTACTTCTCTATGTCTTCTGCGACACTGGTGAGAGTAAATTATCGTGTTTATGTAACACGAGTTTTTCATTATTATTATATTATTTTTTATATTATTTTATTGGAAATGCAAAATTATATATATTTCAAACAGATAATTTTTAATAAGTTGAAAAAGAAGTCCACACACATCATCGAAATTATGTAACATATAAATATATGAATAAAAAAATTAATATTTTTTATAGTCACATTTCTCATAACTAAAAAATAAATATACTAATTTTTCTTTAAATTTTGCAAAGAAAATTTGAAAAATGTGAAAAATATTATTAATATTTGTATGATTAGATTTGCTTTTTTGCTAAAAATTTTCTATATAAATATTTTTATCTAATATTCTTAATATATATTATCTAACATCAAATTATATTAAGTGATTCATAATATTGTGCATTGTATTTTCTAAATTATTTTTCTAATTTTGCTTTTAGTATGGGCAGGACAATGTGGAAAGGTGTGGGTCACGGTTTCCTCTTTATGGAGACCAATTGCTGCTTCCGATAAAGTTATCGATGCGGAATTAGAAGTAAATTGGGAATTTGATTGTCCAGAGGACACAAAATATTCAGATACCCAGATCAAAGTGTTCACTGCTGATCCATTAGAAGCACATAGTAATAAATTTTGTACATATTGTATTCTAATGTTAAGAAATAGCGATTGAACAAAATCGTACTGACACGTGATTCTTATTGTATTTACGTATTACGTATTACGTATAAACTCCGCGTATATCTAAAAATATTTATTAAAAATATCATAATTTATAATAGAAACAAAACACGTACATAGAGTGCAATAGGTTCTAATTGTTGCAAATAAATCTTTAAATTTATTTCTTTTAAAAGTGCTGTTAACAAAGTTCGAGATTTATAAGTTTATCTTGCTTTCATCTTTCACTGATTGCTTAATACAAATCGCCAGCTTATGCGCGTCGAAGCGCTTTGAGTTTGTCGTTAAAACTTGTTCGTTAAGTCTCTCTTCCGCCTATCGCATTCAATTTGAAAACACTGATCCGTTCGAAATGAATCCCTCGATAGTTTTAAATCGTTTTCAATCCGATTTATCTTACAGAATGAATCGTCATGAAATCGAACGTATCAATGTTTTATCATATTTTCTCATGATAAATCTATCGAATTTTGGATATCGAAAAATTTGTAGACGCAATTTACTTTTTCCAGATAAAATGATAAAGCCTGAATTGATCTTGACTTCCTTGCAACATCCGCGAGGATATTACAGAACAAATATTACTGTCGGTCGACCACCGTTACCAGGAGGATGGGATACAAAGGATGGGGCGACTCTCCCAGGACCACATTGTCTCGATTATTATGCAGTTCTTTACAAAGATGGTCACATGTTCTCCGTGACTTGTTTGCAGATTTGGCCGACTTGGATGTATGATATGAGGTAATTTTTTACATATCTTTAATATTATGAATTATCGGTATTTATCTTTCCAAAGCAATTTACGCTTTCAAACGGAAATTAATAAATGCTTAAGTGACAAGAGGAATAAATAAGTAGTAAAAAATATGTAAAAAGAATTGAGAAAGAATTGATTACAAATATCAGTCTCTAATATTAAACATGAATTTTAATGTAACATACACTGTAAAAAAATATGTAAAATTACATAAATAATAAATGTAAAATTACATGATAAATAATGAAAAGGTAAAAATTTCTATTATTTATCGTGTAATTTTACACTTATTATTTATGTAATTTTACATATTTTTGTGTAATATATTACATATTTTTTTACAGTGTACATGCAACATAAATGTAACCTAAATTAATATAAGTTTGTAATAATTTGAAATTATTATACTAATTTGCCAATCAATAATAATTATACCCAAATTTCTTTAATAATTATTATTGTATGCTAATATCGAGAAAATGTTTCCTTGTAAGGAGAGAAATAGGCATGCTTCCTATCGGTAGCCTAATGATACCCGGGACACATAATTCTGGCTGTTACAAACATGGCGATCTGTCGCGTCGGGATGCCTTTCAACGATACTTGTTGACGCAAGATCGCGACGTTTGGACGCAGTTGGTGCACGGTATAAGATATTTGGATATCAGGGTTGGATATTACCCATCGATACCGAACGGCACCGCACTCGACGAAGAAGGCAACCATGTGAGTAGATTTTGGATCAACCACGATGTCATTCGCATCACACCTCTTTCGGAGGTCTTAAAGGATGTGAGAAACTTTTTGGATGCGGCGAGAGGTGAAGTTGTTATTTTGGATTTTCATAGGTAAGTCGCGAATATACACAGAGATTCTATCAGTTGTTTGGAATATTGCATCGTACACACTTTAAATTTGCGGAAGCATACATTTATTCTAAATGGAATTAGTATTATTTGTTGTAAAATTCGAGTATCTAAATAGACGTTAAAGGAATTACATAGGGAAAAACTGGAAAAATGCTTAAATATATGTATAATGTTAATTAATTGTTGCTTTTGTTCGAATCAGCTTTTACATCTTTTTTCAATTTTTACTTTTTGCGTACTATCTAGTATTATTTGTTGAAAATTTTAATAAAATATTATTTTGATAAATATGTTTTATATCCAGAATATTTGTATATAATAATAATTAATGCAGAAATTAACAAATAGATTCCCCGTGGGCTTCGAAGGTAGGCCAAACAGACATCGAAAATTAATAGCTATTTTACATCGAGAGTTCGAAAAATTAATTTTAAAACCAGACAGAGGGGTTGAAGGTCTGGGACCAACATTGAATGACATCTGGACCGGCGGGAAGAGATTAATTATTTGTTATGGCGATAAACATATAGTAAATGGTAAAGGAATTTTTATCATTTCTAACGTATAAAGTGATAATAAAAGTGATAATAAAAGTGATAATAAAAAATAAATATATAAAAGTATATAAAGAAGTAGTCGTATGATTTTTTGTATATATTCTTCAAATAATTTAACATATTAAGTCTTAAATTCTCTTTTAATATAATCAATATTTATATATAAAATTGCACACAGGAGTGCACAATTTATATTACAAATCGTAATATGTTAACATAAATTAAAATATATTTTATAAAATATATAGTAAATGTCTGATTTGACAATTATTCTTTTAACAAAAACTTGATTGAATATGTGTATATTTCATAAAATTGTTGAAAATTTAACAAAATAATTGTCTCTGCCACAAAGTATTTCAAATTAAAAATTTCAATAAAAAATTATATATTAAATATCAAAATGTGGCTTACAAATTCTAATCAAGATAAAAATGTGTCTTACACTTGTTAATTTACATAAAAATGTGTCTTACACATGTTAACTTACAGCTAACGAGTTTAATTAGCTCAAATCAAGAGAGTTTAATTTAATTAATAATCTGCATATAATTTTCTTTAATCTAGACTATGATTGGTTGTGGCCACCCTTGTCGCAAGTATGGGGCAATCAACAAACTGTAGAAGGTCTATTTGAGTATTTGGATGAAGAAATTTTCAGATCAAAGAAACGTAAGAATAATCAGAATCCATTGTGGGCAGTAATGGCAGAACTGACGCCATTCCCATTGGATATTTTCTTTAATTTATCCGGCGGACTTCGGCACATGGCTGATTCGGTTAATCGAAATCTCACTGTCAAGTTTCAAGAGGAGTGGTGGAAGGAAACAAATATTGTTGCTACAGATTTTTTCCTCGGAAACGACCTGATCTCGGTATCGAGAATGTCGAACATAAAAAAAAGTAATATCGCACAATGGCGTTTATAGATATAAAATTATATTGATAACATAATAAAGTCCTTGTTTCAAAAATTATAAGATAAAAGAATCATTTCCGTTAAACTCATAAATTATATTAAAATAATGTATATATTGAAAGAAATTGATATTCCACGAACGGGTTGATTTAATATGAAATTCACTAGAAACACAAGACTCAAATTCTTTCGTTTATTATTTGATATGATTGCAAAGAAAAGAAGAGAAAAAAGTGAAAGAAAAAGAGCGAAAAATGCTTAAACAATATTAATACAATAATTTATTTAAATAAATGTGATTAGTAATAAAAATATTAAGTGACAGGTTAATGTTTGATAAATATTTATATTGTATGCAATGCAATCTGTATCGACTTTGCAAATAAAAATTTCATGATTTTTATTTGAGTTTTACTTAAGTAAGCCGTGATAAATACGTGAACTTATAAATTAGTGAATTATAAATATAGACATATGTATAGTTATATATGGAATTAAATATTATTATTAGAGCTATCACACAGAATAAACTTGCAATGTAATCATAATTAATGAGATACAACATTCTTTACTGTGGAAAATTATGTTTTCTCAATTGGTATAATTTTTTAACTCTTCCTTATATAGATGTCGTTATTATCAGGATTTTAATCATATATATTTTGATGATAAATTGTATCTAAGAAAAAAGCTGATGTTTTTTTTAAATATAAATCTTATAACTGACAAGAATTTTTAAAATAAAACTTCCAGATTTTAAAAGTATTTGTATTTTTTAACTCTGTTAAACTAAATCAGTAAAAACAATATTCAAAAAATCAGTCATACAAGATTTTACGAAGATCAATATTTTATTAATCTTCGGTGAAGACATAATTTATTTCTTATGTCTCATTGATTATGATTGTAAGAATTCATTGAAAAATCAGTAATAATCATACATTGCACCGAAAAAAGGCGCCAAGAGGATTCTCTTAATTTAAGATGATTATTCTTATTTTCAGTAGAGAAAATGCTTAAATTAAGAGGAATTCTTGGCGCCGTTTAAAAATAAGATAAACTTATAAACTTAAAAAAATAAACAAAACTCTCAGCTAAATTCAGATATTTTTTCAACAAAATATATTGCTACAAATTTCATATATGTAACAATTAACATGAATTTAATATTTCATATATGCACGGAAAAAAAATTAGCTACCATAGCTAAATTTTAGCTGTCCATATATTACACATGAAATTTAGTCAGTTATCATGCTTAAATTTTAGCTATGACAACTAATATTTTTTAGCTATAACATTCTCCGTTAAGCTATGGCTAAAAAATATTAGTTATCATAGCTAAAATTTAGGCACGATAACTAAATTTCAGGTTGTTATATATGGACAGCTAAAATTTAGCTATGGTAGCTAATTCTTTTTTTCCGTGATGTATAATATTGAAATAAACGCATTTTAAAATATTATTGATTGAAATAGTCATTACCACAAATTGATTTTTTTTAGTGAAGTTTCACTGTAATATTATATTTATTTGTAATATTATATTTATAACTAAGATTATTCAGTGATTATTTTCTACTTTTTAGTAATAAAACTAATTCCATTTAAGAGAGAATATATCATATATTATTATCAAAATAATATTGCAGCTGATAGAGCTAAAAATATATATTTTTAATGATTTATACATGTGCTACTTCAATTGAAAATAATGCCTGTCTCGCGACAAAAATGCTTACGTTTAAATCTTCCCGCTGGCTTGCTTACGCATCAGATTACCTATAGTGGTTTCATGCATTTGATTTGCTAATAGGAACCGGTTCAGACGAGAGAGTGAACAGCTAGTAACACGTTGGTTTCCTACGGACGTTTCGAGAGAACGTTAAGCAAATAAGATAGCAACAGAAATAATGTTAACTAATGCAACTGCAAATGAGAAAAACGAACTATGGTGGTCTATATACGCTTGGTGGTCATGTGTGCTTGTATTAAAGATGATGTTGTTCACTTGGTATACTGGACGAATACGAGTGAGAGAACAGGTAAAATTTTGGAAAATCTGGAATATTCCTATTATTCATTTATCATTAAATCTAATTTTTTGTTTGTGCCTGATTCTTTAAAAATAAGATTTCTTTAAAAAGAAAGTCTAGAGAACTAATTACTAACATGAAATAAAGCGATTTTATTCATTCATTTTAATGCAATTGTTATATACAATAAAGATAGAACAACTAATAAGTCAATTTATTCATTATACATTCAAAATTTTTATTTTAATGCAAAGATTATTTACTTATACACCATTTTTTAAACATTAAACAAATTAAGTGGATTAACTAATTCAAAAGTGCGTGTATAAAATGATTAGCGTATACATAAATTAAATGTCATAAGTATCGAATCAAGAACGACGTTTTAATTAACGTACACGATAATTTTCCAATCGATTCATATCTCATTTATTATACATTCAAAACTTATCAATTACACTGTATAAAAAAAATTTTCCAACAAAAATTTTTCTATTCAAAATTTTTATCTTAATGCGAAGATTATTTACTTATACACCATTTTTTAAATATAAAACATATGTATTAAATAAAATTAAAATGAAATTTTATTTAACAAATTAAAGGAAATTGAGATAAAATTTTTTTTTTATACAGTGTAGTTGATAAGTTTTAAATGTATAATAAATGAGATGTGAATCGATTGGAAAATTATAGTGTACGTTAATTAAAACATCGTTCTTGATTCCATACTTATGACATTTAATTTATGTATATGCTAATCATTTTATACACGCACTTTTGAATTATCGCACAATTTAGCGATCGTAAGAAACTTTATTCAGTATTGTCATGTTTTTTAATAGTGCTATCATGGAAATTAACATACTCGTCTCATATCACAAGTTTCGATATATCCGTGTCTATTAATAATGTGATATTTATATGAATTTACTTTCGATGCAAAATATACTCCACAGATGATATTTGTGAAGCGGTTAAATAATAGCATTAGAATAAATACAGATTATGAGTATCGAAAACTATATAATTAATTATATAATTACACACATCGATTAACATTATGACAATAAATGTCTCATATTACTCGACACTCCGGACATTTTGAATCTGCAATATAAATTGTACGATTTTATGTAATTTGAACAGCTGTTGGTTGACAGTTAATTATGTGTGTACGTTGATTGTAAAAGTTGTTCACTAATACATACACATTCGATCAATATATCATTATAATAACAATGTAATTAAAAATTAATTTTAATTTTAAGTCATGATATTATACATTAATCGGTCATTTTTTCATGAAATGTATTATTATTAAAAAAACATAAATATTTTAATTAACTTAAATTGAATTTAATTAAATTAATTATACCTGCAAATTGCAATTAATATATTGTATTATAATCACATAATATCATATTTGATATTTTCATTTAGTGGCTGTGAAACATATAGGAAATGTGTCGACTATTTTTGAAGATATATATAAGGTCGGATGTTATTAAACATCAGCATAATTTGATTTCGTGAAATATGCAAAGTGTGCAGTGTGTCATTGCACACTGCGCGCATTGAAATTTCAATTCTTATTTAATCAAAAATAAAATTTAAATATATATTTATATTTATTTTAATTGGTTTTAAGTATAAAATAAATAAATATATATATATATATATATATATATATATATATTCTTATCTTAAGAGAGTCATATTTAATATATTTTACATAATGCTCGTTATTCCTAATTCGTGTATATTTTCAATTATAATGAGACTTTTATATTATATCAAATGTTAAAATAAAATATTCAAATTTGGTAAATTATAATATATAAAATATCAACAGCTTTTAATAATTGAAAAATATGCAACAGAAATATTATGAGAAATATAAGAAATAATATTTAATAAAAAACAATCATAAAAGGCACAATTGTATATATATATATATATATATATATATATATATATATATATATATATTATTCTGTAATTATTTATAACATTTATAAATAGTAATATTTTTTATTATTTTATTTCAAGAGCGCTTGCGAATCATTATTATTGAAATTCAAAATATACTATTGAAGCAAACCTTTGGATTAATTATACACATATATACAAACCTGCAACCAGCATGTTAAATTAAATCGTAATTCTTTTTCAAAAATTGTAAATACAATGAAATCCTGTACTAAAGTTTTAATTAATTTTTGAATTATTATCCCGATACATAAAAATCAGATGTATATCCAGATTTGGAATGCAAATTAAATCGATTTTGGAAAATTTGAAATTAAACTTTGTTACAATCTAAAAATAGATCTTTTTCTCAAATGTATAGTACTTTATCATGTATGACGTACGCAATAAAATAAAAAAAATGAAAGAACAGCTTGTGTGCACGAAATAAAAGCTTTCAAGCGCGCACAGTCAATTAAAACCTTTTTCTTTCGCGGTAGAACTCTCGGTAGAATGACAAATGGGGACATTCGTTCCAGATAAATTTTGACATTCGTTGTTCTGTCAATTCCGCGTCTCTCACATGTCATGTGTTTTTCTTTTTTATTAAAATGTTATCGTAAAAATCACCGTAGAAATGTGTTGAATAAATCTTTATACTAATAAAGAAAAATGTTTATTATTTATGTGGGTTAGTCAAAATCACATTCCGATCTAATCAGGTTTGTTTGCGATTTTATTTGTTGTGTAGGTGATTCACAGCGAAGAGGACAGAATGTGGATGAAAAATAAATCAAACATAATTTTATGTTCAACCGGCGATGGTCATCCTAACGTGATTCGCATAAGAAGTGCTCATCGAAAGGATCTCGAGACGATTTTACCTTTTATCATTTTTACACCGCTCTGGTTAAACGTCGAGACATGTAATTCTATAGTGAAAATTTTAATACCGAGTTTTGCATTAATCAATATCTTATATACTTTGATTCATATGCAATTTCTACAAATGTCTGCTCTTTGGAAATTTTATTCATCTATGATTTTGTATTGCATTTTGACTTATATATGTGCAATCGCTGCAGTGGGACATACTATTACTCTCCCAAAATTGATTTAAGTTAATGAAGAGAAGATTATGTTAGTACACTGTACTAGAAAGTAATTTTTGTAGAGGAAAAAAATGCATAAAATATTATTTAATTATGTTTTATATATATTAATTACGTTCATTTTATTACAAGATTTATATTTTGCAAAAAAAGAGATTAAATTATACATGATAATTAATATGAAGCTTTTAATATAATAGGTTACAATTATTTCTCGTCATTCAGAACTGAGCTTTATCATTTTCTATCACTTCATTATCAATGTCTAATTACTAATTATATGGCGAGCAAAATTGACAAGGACGAGTCAAATATTTAATGAGTGCATTAAAAGAGTTATAAAAATAATTTTAAAGAGGATATGAAATTATTTTATAATTTTGAATTGAATTCAAATAAAAAAACGTAAAATATAAAAATGTGTATTATTATCTTATTATGTATATGATTTGCATATTAATGTAAAAGCAAAATGTTGTTGCGATTATCTGTATAAATTTATTTTGCTGTTAATATCGTCAGTCTATAAAAATTATGCAATAAAATGTCTAGTATAAATATTTATAAATTTCATATTTAACATACGCGAACAAATTATTAAAATAATTATATAATACTGATATTATCTAAAATTATTATTCCAAGATAGAATTATTATTTCTTATAAAAAATATTCTTGTGAGAAAAAAAATATTAATTAATAATAGTAATAATCAATATGCACACAGTCATGTGCTGTAATTATAAAAGATTATAAAATCATATATGTATGCATAAGAAGTAATGCAAAAAAGTGTTTTTGAAATAAGATTTATAGGTATAAGATAAGAATCTTAGAAGTTATGTTATGCTGTTTTACATATTTAAGTATTGTAAATATAATTATCTCTTGCTGTTTTTGTAATATTTTTTAGGCTATGACGTAAAATTCTGATCTCAAGATCACACGTGTTATATTGCATTTATATTGTTAAGTGGAAAATTATACCTAACAGTTATATATATTTGTTACTTGGTGTTTGCTGGGAATATTATTAGTTCTTCAGTCTGCTCAGCAGTAATTCAACCAGCTACATGGTAAGTCGCAGAGTTTTTCTCTTTACTTAATATTATGTCTTTTTATATAGAAATATATTATAAATATATGACAACTTTATTTTTGAAAAAAATATTCTACTTGTAATGTATATGGCTGTAATTAATATTATTAGTATAATATACAAAAATAATCTTTTCTATGGGCGATAATAAATGTTTTTTTCAGAAATTATCAGAGAATTCTCAGAGAATTGATTGCATCTTAAATACCATAATATAAATAAAAACGATCATAAATTAAAGCATAAAATATAAAATATCACCGTTTTTCAATATGCAATACATTTTTAAATTAATAACTGTAATGCAATAACGATTATTGTTACAGTCTATTCAGATTCTTTTTATATTTAATTACATTAAATATAGAAGTAAAATATTGCGTAGCAAGAAACCTCTGATAAATTGTTCGCATTTGCGATATTTATACTGTAAATAAAAAAAATTAACTGAATTTAATATTATCCTACAGTAAAATATACATAGATAATACACTGTATATATTTATCGCATAAAAAGATTATGTTTGTATATTATATAATTACACATTACAGCCACACTTTAGAAGTGAAATATATATATTTTCTTATGGAGTTTATATTTTATATATGAAAAATTAAAATTTTAATTTTTAAATCATATTTCTCTTAAACAATGTTATTTTTTTATATAATTTTTCTGGCGGTTCTTAATTTACAAATGCGTGTTTCACACATAAAAATATGTACACACATATATCGGCAAAATCGGAGAATTTTCACAAAATTTAAGTAAAAATTAATAAGACTCACCGATATACGATGCACATCAGCAAAGTTGGTAAACTGTAAAATATAAATACATAGAAATTATGTAGTAAATAAAATTTAAAAGAATTGATATTTAAAAAAATAAAATTATTATTTGCATTGAGGTTACAGTAAAAATAGTAATAAATAATAAATAAAATGTTTACCATATAATTGCTCCGTCGTTGCCCGATGTCGCCCCGGACCTCCTCCTTTTCTCGTAGAAGCTTCGAAACACTCGCATGCACTCGCGTTAATTTTTTCGTTCGCGATTCGCAACGACGCCCGGTAATTATCACCATCTTCGACGCGTTCTCATAAAATGCGAGGAACGCGAGATTATTTGCGCGCGAATGAAACCGATGCTCCGTTTTCCTGTCGTCGTTTTTTTCGAGGCTAACTTGTGACGGCGACTTCCCCCACGACGCACTCAGGTGTCGCCAATAAATGCAATATGTAGGAGTCTAATTAGTACGATCGGAAACGCGCGATCGCCTACTTAGAAAACGACCGACAACGTCGAACAACTGCGGAAAATCTCGCGTCGAAATTGCCCGAAAATTCTCGCGATCCGCTCCCTCGTAAATTTGCGCGCCAAATTTTCGGCGGCTCGAGTCGCGCTTTTTCGGGAGAACAAAGGAGATTCGCGACCGACGAGATTAATTTCACGTGTGCGATCGCGATCACGATGTTGGGACGCGGGACGTGATCCGATTTGTACCATAATTAACGACGTAAAGAGAATTAATTAATATTCCCACCCGTTTTTTCGCGGACCGGCGACGAGCACGTAAACGCGGCAAACGTTGGTCGTAAATAACGTGAAGTTGCAGCCAGAGGGCACTAAATTGATCATGTGACACGTGACCATAGTTACAGGACGCGCACAAATTCAAATCTTGCGTTAGCTCAATTATTTTTCTAACGTGATTATTATCTTGTACATATTTCAACAAAATATGAAAATTATAGCAAAGAATGTAATAATAATTATATATATATATATATATAAACAAATTATTTCAGAGAAATATATTTATTCAAGCGAAAATGTTTGGAAAAATATGTTTTTTATTAATTAATTATCATTAAAAATAGTAAAATTGAGAAAAGACCGAATCTGAGATATTTCTTATAATTGGATATTTAACAATTTTTATATTATTATTTTTTCGTTTTAATCGAATGACGTAAGACGTTATGAATACACATGAACGTAGTATGTTGTTGTGGTTATGAATGAATACATTCAATCCAGTCTCGTTTGGCATGTGTGCAAGAATCATGGTCACCTCTACTACATTAGAATTTAATCAAGAGGAATTTAATAAGGGGAATGAGATCACGTATATTAGGATCTGTTTGTTTCGTTCTCTGAATTGTCATATTTAAAACGTGACAAATATATATTCGGATAAAGAAAAGGAGAGTAAAAAATTTGACGTGAGTAGTAAAAATGCAAAACGAACGAAGAAGTATATAAAAAAATGTTTACACCGAATAATAGTACAAAGTACTATTCCAAAGTTCTATTTCACGATAAAAATAACTACTGTGATATATAATTAATTCGTGATGTAACTTTATGCACGAAGTTTTGAGTGCTTATCATATTTGGAGGTTATGAGGTGATTAAATACATATAAAAAGTGCTTGTGTGATATGAGAGAAATTTATATAAGGAAAATTCACTTATATAATTATTGATTTTTATTTTAATGTAATCTAGTGCACAAATTATACCAGTGTCATACGTACACGTGTACGTACGCATATGTTTAGTGAGATAATAGAATTGAATTGTCATCTCCATAAAATAGACGTTTATTGTCTTTTTATGCAGTTTTAATATTAATTATTGTTGTCTGAGCTTTATTATAACTAAGGAAAGGATGGAACTGCACGCGAATCGTGTTGAAAAACAATCATACCATAGATTTTGGCATAGCATACCAGTGCGCATATCCAAGGGGACACAATATTTTTTCTATCGGTGAGTTTTTATCTCAGAATTAGAAGAATTAATGATAAATAATCTACAATTAGTTGAATAATATAATGATGCTTTTATATTTTTATAGGCTAGGAATACAAATTACTCAACATCCATTTAAATGGATACTTGGATGCTTCATTATAATGTTAATCTGTTTCTCAGGATTGTTTCGCTTTCGACAGGAAAAAAATCCTATTAAGCTTTGGTCTCCACCAGAATCTGGTTTCGCATTAGATACTGAATGGCTACTATCACATGTGGAGCAAGGTTTACGAATTCAAACATTTATCTTGACTGGTAGCAATGTCTTAGAACAGCAAGCACTCATTAAGGTATGTATAATTCAATAAATGCTTTCATAATTATTACGTAGTATGTTTAATTAATGAGAGTAATTATGCAAAATATATTTTTTTATGTTGCAGTTAAATGAAATAACTAAACAAATGATCTCTAGTGAAACACCAATAGAGAAAATTTCTTGGACAAATGTGTGCATGAAGTAAGTATTGAAGAGATAAAATTTAAACAATTGAAATTCTATTAAATTATAAAATTTTACATTTTAATATTATAATATTAAACTTATATAAAGGCAAATTAAGATGTTATATCAAAAAGATTAATTTAATTTTTTTATTTGCAAGAAAAAAATTATTAATATACAAATTTTTATTTATAGGATTCCTTCTATTGCTGGATTTATGCATAGAAGAAAAAGACAAAGCTCTCTTTTAGAAGATGATTTTTTTTACGATGATATTAGTTCGAAAATTAATACCACTTCATTTGAACCTGCTATTTCTACTGATACTAACTTATATTGCAACATAATTAATAGTTTGCCTAGGACTTGCCTTCTATTCAGTATTTTGGATATATGGAGTTTTGATAATGCTAAAATTGAAAAGGATTCCACAGAAGAAATTATTACAAAGATAAATACAGTAAAAGTTAGTCCTACATTAGGCCACCCCTTAAATTTCACTGAACTTTTGAGAGGCATAACTTTGGATGAAAGAGGCAGAATTATTGCTGCAACAGCAATAAAGACGCAGTTAATGGTTCACATCAAGTTTCGTGATGTGAACATGGATAAAAGCGGAAACAGTGCAGGAACTGCTGACTGGGTAAGTGAATTTATAACGAGGCCTAAATCATAATACCTATTAATAAATATCTTAATGCTGAATGAATTTTAGATAGAAAATCTTAAATTTTAATTATAAATAAAGCTGTATCTAATTGCTTTCAAAAAGTTAGAAATAAAATTAAATAAAAGAAAGGAAAAAAGAGATAAAATTATCATTTAATTGATAAAATTTTTCGATTGTCTATATATGATTTAGGCCTAATATATTACTTTTATCCAAAGATAAAAATAATTTGACAAAGTCTCAATTATAAATTGTAATATTAAATGATATTTTTATTCTTATCTATATTTTATTATTAATTCATAAATTTTCATGGTTCGGTGTTTAAAATATCTAATAAGAATTATATTTATGTAAATTTTATTTTATTCGTAGTATTAAGTTTTATAGTAAACAGATATAAAATTTTGATAATTAGTTTATAATGAAAAATCATTTATACACAGGCAACATACGAAGTATTAAATTGGGAATCAGTTTTTTGGACATTGCTAAGAAGTTTTCAAACCAATTGCAAAGTGAGAAAACTAATAACTCGTTGGCATTATATTATGAATCAGGCAGAAGCTATGGAGATCTCACCGGGTCAGCTATATTTCGAGATATAGATAAATTGATTGTAGGAGTTGCACTAATGTTTCTGTACGTTTTAATGATATTGTCGAATTATAATTGGGTAGAATGGCGGGTATGTGTTTAAGTATATATATTGATGCATGTCATATAAATTCCTCCGATTTGATTGATCGAAATTTTCTCATCTTTTTGTTTATACAGTTTTGTCTTACGAGTGTTGGTCTTTTCTCTGTGGGCATTGCATTTATACTCGCAGTGGGAATATGCTCTCTAATTGGTATTCCATATGGCCCAATACATACGTCTTTGCCATTTTTACTCTTAGGTCTTGGGGTAGACGATATTTTTGTATTTTATGCATTCTGGAAACAGATACATACTGATGAATTAAACTTAAGTAAATCACTGACAGAGAAAATCGGGCTTACGTTAAGTCTTGCCGGTTCTGCTATTACCGTTACTTCGTTTACTGATATTGTGGCGTTCATGATTGGTGCTACCACTGTACGTATAGGATTATATGATTAATTATAATGTACAGAAGAATGCATAATATTTATCATATTATGGCTGATTTACGAATTTAATGACTTTCGTTCGTTTCTTTCGAAATTTAAATTTAAATAAGAGAATTGTATTAAATCGCAAAAGAAATGTTATTCTTAATTATCATTTTTTATTAAATAATGTTTCTTTTCATAATTTTGTAATAAAATTCTAATTTGATTTTGTAACTAAATAATAATTTTTTATCATATTATGAATATATCTTCTTACAAAATATTTTTATATAGAATATTTACTATTTTTCTACTTGTTTTTATATAAAAAAATAGATTGACGATCTCGATTTGATTTAGATAAATTAGTTTGAAAATATATACTGATATATATAACAGTTGTCAAGTCATTTGATTGACGTTATGCATTCTTTGTTTTAAGGCAGGAATAATTATGATTGAAAAAAGCGACTTAATGTATATAATGTTCCTTTTTAGATATTGCCATCACTTCGGTCGTTTTGTATCTATGCTGCAGTGGGGATATTCGTGACATATTTATTACAAATCACATTTTTTATTGCATGTTTTACCTTAGATTCCAAAAGAATAGAACAAAAAAGAAATGGGATGTTACCATGTATCGTGCATGAAAACTTTACGCCCAAATTATCAGATCCGAGCAATGCATTCTCCTGGAAAATTATACATTATTTATACTCACGTGTAATATTAACTTTGCCAGGCAAAATTATTGTAATAATGATTACGTTTGTAATGATATCGATAAGCATCGTGGGTACGCTTCAATTAAAACAGGGATTTGATCCGGGATTGTTGGTGCCGAAAGGATCATACTTGGACGAATATATAAACATACATGTTCAAGTATTTGATGAAGGATTTGAAGCTTTTGTTCTTATGGGAGACGACATTGATTATGCATCTGAATTTCCTAAGATAATAAATTTAACAGAACGCTTAGAGAATGTGTCTTTTATACAAAATATAGAATCTTGGCCGATTTATTTCGCAAAATTTGTTTCGACGTACTTTGACACAGGTTATTTGCTGTAACATTTATTTGAGTTCATCTAAAGTTGCAAAATATAATTTTTTTAAATTTTAATTCTGAAAAAAGATATTTATAAATATAAATTGCATAATTTTCGCGAAGTAATTAAAGAATGTTTTTTGTTTTAGATTTGATGACCACAAAGATTACAGATGATATGTTTCATCATTATCTATCGAAATTTCTCATTAGTCAAACTGGTGGCAAATATCAGAGAAATTTTGTTTTCAACGAGACTTTCACGTGTGGAAAGAAGGCTCCTCGAATCATAGCAGCGACCATTGAATTTAAGTTCATAATGTTTAAGAGTCCCTCCGAGTGGATTCCAGCAATGGATGACAGTAAAAACTTGGTGAGTGAAGCGCAAATTGAAGGCTACACAACAGTATGGTGCAAAGCATTTGGACCCTGGACCTCCGATAAAATGATTACTCAAGAAGTATCACGAAACCTTCTCCTGGCATTGATCTGTGTCATGAGTACTACAGCAATACTCATCGCCGAGATGCAGACCTGCATTTGGATTTTACTCTGCATACTTCTCACACTTCTAAACGTTTGTGGCTTTATGTATTTCTGGGGACAACCGATAGACATGATATCCAGCATTGGTGAGTTTTTACACTTTTTACTCAATTCTAATTCTATTTTATTTCACCATTTTACTGCGAGTGAAAGATAAAAGTATCTGAAATATGATAAAATCGAAGAAAACGTTTCTAAAATCTTAAGTAAATTCTTTGTGAGTTAGTTCATTATAAAAAATATCGTTGTTGACATTTCGATAAAGGCATTCTGCTTGAGAAACTAAAGGGATACCTATGTTGCAAGATCGACAAATTGCTTAGAAAAAATATCTGCGAAGAGTAGCTGAGAACAAACTTACCAGCTTGCATTATCCATTATACTGTATAAAACTGAAGTACTTGTTACGTATTAGAGCATTTTCAATTATTCTTAACAACACGCGCGAGTTCTCTTCAATATTGTTGCTCAGAGGGAACGTCCTCTGGTTGTCGATCAGATGATTTCGCGTCGACTACTGTCTCAGTGAGATTCCCTTGTGCAGGTCTCCAGTTGGCAATCGGTTTAAGCGTGGATTATGCCGCTCACGTGGCGCATGCCTTCTTGCATACCGAGTTGTCAAAGGATGACGACGATGACTCTCCTCGCACAACTCGAGCGTTGAACGCGGTCAGACATATCGGGGCTGCAGTTGCATATGGTGCTGGTTCGACGTTGCTCGCCGTATCGATGCTGGCATTCTCCACATCCTATGTGTTTGTAGCTTTCTTTAAAATATTCTTTCTGGTGATATTATTCGGGGTCTGGCATGGATTAATCATGCTGCCAGTAGTATTGAGTATTATCGGGCCACCGAGTTTACGCACAAAACAGCGATCGCGACAAATGGTTGCGGCTACGATTGATGATGAAGATTGATGAAACGGACAGTTTGTTCAAGCCATCCTTGTTCTTTATCAATAATATTTATTTTTGGTTCAATAAACATACAAAATTATTACACTATCCGTACTAGTAATCACACATTTATACAAAAATAATAATTAATAATAATAATACGTCAGATAACTTAAAAACGGTATTATATATTTATAGATTTATATATATATATATATTAAGATTATCCAAAAATTAAGAAATTAAAAAAAAACAAGTACAAAATAATGTAGCAAGGTGATATAGATTTATTATTATCAATTATCATCGATCGGAAAGGAACATGACTATTATAAACGTAACGTAATCATGTTTTGCCGGATTTGCGTTTATCCTTCACGTATAATTGTAATTAATAATTATGACGTAAAAATGAGCGGCGAGGGAGCGACCTCGGGATTGATTGGCGAACTCCCTCCGCTGCCTCTCTCAGTCTTGCACAGTCCATCCGACATTCGTTCGACCCTTTCCATTCATTCACGACCCCGTCCTCATCTTTGTCTCTTCTTCCAACTCGTTCCTGTTAAGCCCTCTCAGCATAAGCGCGGTCAGACGAATCCGTGGAACGACAGTGAGAGGGTACGGAGTACGCATTACGCGGCTCGAACAAGACACGCAGAGAGGCAGGGACATAGTGGACACACAGATACTCGTTTGCATTCGCTCGCACATATCAGCGTACACCGGAAACATTCTCGGAGGCGCGCACTCCATACTCAATTATACGACGGTAGTTAGACTGCCGGGGGCAGCAAGCCACGCACGAACGATACGGTGATTAAGTTATTACACATCTTCTTAGTTAAGTCGAATTTTACAAATCGGGATTCGTACATTTCATTAATTGATTGAGGAACCATCGATACAATAATAATAATCATAATAATATTTACTTAGCAAAATGTGCCGATCGGTAATTGTGGCGAATGACGCGTGATGTGAGCACAGTTAGTCGTGTTAAAAAGACGGGATATCAAGGGTATTTGGAAGAAGGGATTGAAGATGAAGGGCGAGGGTGGAGATTTAAGGGAGAGAGAGGAATCGAGGATTCTCACAAATAGTATACGCGGCCGGGGGAGGACATACAGATATGGAAAAGAGGCGGGGATTCGAGGATGACGGTGGACCGTGAAGAAGTCGCACGTCTGCTCACCAGGGTTTTAAGGTACACACGCACTTAGGGGTGGGGGGATACACCGTGGGAAAGACACTCAGGGCAGACAGACACCGACATAGAGACTAGGCTACCGACTATACGTTAATATCTATCTAAACGTGTAATTAGCGTACGCACCGCGTACACATCCGGTACGCAAAAACATTCTTTCTCCGTCCGCCTTGTGCGTACAATATTTCGCTTAGCGCAAGGCGCGTTCGGAGAAGCGCTCTCGCTATGTTTCTCGTTTTTATTTCTTTTTTCTTTTCATCTCTCTCTCTTCCTCGGTTTTGTTTTTCTTTATTATTGTTTTTTCTTTTTTTTTATTATTATTATTTATTAATCAGCGATCGCGTCGTAGTCGTGTCTCTTTTCCTTTCTCTCGTTTTTTTCTTTTTTAATAGTAAACGCTATGTAGTCTTTATTACTCAAGCTTATGCCCAAAAATCTACCAGAGGCACTTTGGGTTTATTAGTACCATTTGAAGTCGGCGTGCGCGGGGGAGGGTACCGCACGCCCCGTCCTCCTGCGCGGAACAGCGGGCGAACAACGAGCATATATATATGTTCACGCCTCGAGAGAAATCCTTGGTTGTTTGATTGACCCGTCGTCGTCGTTATTTTAGTCGTTTTATAAATTTCTCCACCTCTTCTTCTTCTTCTTCTTGTGTGTCGCGCAAATTAATTTACCCTGTCTGGCGATGTGTCTTCGCCACCGCGTAGATAATCACCTGTCTGTCCCTCTTTTCTTCATTCGACACTCTATATACCCCCGCCCTCCCCCCAATTCCTCTTCCGTGAACCTATATCCCAACGATTCCCCCGTATCTCTTTTTTTTTTTTTTATCCGCTTTCCTTAGCCTTCCACCACGGTCTTCCGATGTTTTTTGAGCAATAAATACTTTCTCCACGTACAACTGCACATTGAATTGACGCACAGGACACACACGCACACCCGCATACACGTCTGACAGTTCATTCGCTACCAGCCGCACGCATTGACATCGTGTTAACGTTAAACGCGAGAGAGAAACATTTAGCTTCGAATTATTTTAAAGCTCCTTATAGTTTTAAAAAGTATATAAAATCTGACGAGATACTCTCATCGTAGATCCGATAGATTACATGATACGAGGAAAAAAAAATAAAAGGTGATCTCCAACAACTTTGTTCATCGAGACAGCGACTGTTCGCGTTCGAAAATGAAAGTTCAAAAGTGCCTTTACACACGTGCCCCTTTTCTTTCTATGCAATGCTTTCGGCTTTTGATCAAATACACGTCCATTCGCGCGGCTTACTTTCACGCACACCAATATGGCTACATCCACAGAGTTAATGTTACGCTTTTAATTAATGATTATCAATTCAATATCAATTCAATATCAATGTATTACAATCAGACAATACTCAACAGTGATCATTATTCATTATATATTACAATAATTAAGAGTGACAACAATATGACGACGGAGGCGTTGAAGCATTACAAGGGAGAAAGGGAGAGACAGAGAGGAGGAGGAAAGAGAGAGAGAGATTAAAAATGGCATGAAGATGAATCGTAGGAGGGTGAAGGAAGAACAGGGAGAGTTTTGATAGTGGACATGTTACAGCTATAGTATCGGAAAAGATAGAGCGCGAGAGGAGATAGCGAAGGGCGTAAGAATAAGGGAGGAAAAGGACAAAGTTATGAATGATTATGAAATAGCGACGATGACATCGGTGATGGATGCACGATGATAGGAATGAACGATTAAATGGAACGATGAGTCGCGGAGACTAAGGAAGGGAAGCACGCACACTCAACACAACCGTCACATCGAGCTGGCCTCGCGCGTGGCCAATAGTCCATAGATTAATTACCTACTAACTAGTACACAGTCTGTCTCCGTTCTTGCGCGGATGACTTTTTTTTTTATCTTCACCTTCCTTCTCGAGCGCCGTGTAAGTATACGTAATACACCACGTTAAATACGCGCGTGCGCGCGGTATAGCGCTGCCGAGCTATGGAGCGAGCGACAGCGCGCTTATAAGCGTGTGAGCGAGTTGAGACTCGTTTACAATCTCATGTTTTGTTTGTGTGATAAAATTATGGCAAAATACTCGACGCGGGATACCGCCCTACCTGCTCGCACGCGCGCCTCCTCGGATACTAGATATACGCACACGCACACACAGGCATGCTTGCGCCAGTATAAAGTGTATATATGTACACATATACATATGACATACCAACCATATATATGTATATATATCTATATTTATATATATATATATGTATATATAATTTGTATATAATATATATACATATATATTCATATCGCTTAATTATTTCATCGTTATCGGTAATTATCATTATTTCATAAAATTCGTCAGTTCACATAATTCAAAAAATTTCAGCTAGAATAGCGGTGGATGGAAATGTTTCTTCGTTAAAAATCGCGCCAGATCACCATTTAATCGGCGCCGGCGATCGATCGTTTCTTTTTTCTTTTTAAACACATTTACAAATTATCGATCGATATCACGGCCGATTCCCTCACTCGCGCCTTTCTTATCACTAGTATGTGTTTTCATTATTATATTCATTTTTAAAATCACTCGCGCTGTGCAAATCGGTGCGCGATCACCGTGCGACGAGGGAAACACGATTTCGCTTTTACTTTTGCACTCGACTCGGCCGCCGAAATGTGATCGTACATTTAATATTCTATTACAATGATTTTTTTTTTTTGATATCTTATGTACAATTATGCGGCAATGTTATGCTTATGATTATGGCCACACGTACGAACCGGCGACCTCTGAGAAGACTTCTCTTCGACACATATTTTTTAACACTTTATCCTTTAATTAAATCCCCAGTTAACTCGCGGCGTTCAACCCTGTTCGGGGTTGTTCTCCCTAGTTCACTCGCGATTCGCGTTATGCTGAGAAAAACTGGCTTTTGCACGAAACCTGAGATAATCGATTACAAGATAGGCCAGTCCTCTTCGTCGAGAATTAAATCGAACCGCGATTGACCGCTCAGCAGGGTAACTCTTGACGAGCGGGCTTCGTCATGTGCTTCATGGAATTCATGGTACATCAGGGGTTGTCCGCCGCCATTATATTGTGCACTTGCTCGAGCTTGTACGCCAGTCTCTGCTTCTGCGAGAATTCGTCCTCCTCGAGAGTGACAATTAGTTGTTCGTTGTATTTACCCGCGTATGTATACAGTTCGTATAAAGCACAGTTCGTATTAAACTCCGTTGTGTGCAACTGAAATAAGATCAGACATAACATTAAATTAGTTTACACGTTGGGCAAAACACTTATCCTAAGAGATTTATATATTGCGAATATAGAAATGGATAAATACCCTCGATTCTTCGGCAAGCATGGCATTCATGTCTTGATCGGATATGGCTGGCATGACTTTGATATCTGAGTAGTAACGCTCTACCCACTCTTTGTACACTGGAATGTCCTTTGCATATAATAGTTTCGAACTCGGAGAGTCCTTACCTAAAAACAGAGCAGAAAAACATACATACATTTCTCTGAATATTAAAAAAAAAAAAAAACTAAAAGATACGTACCTAATCTATGGTCCGACGTTGAGCAGCTATCCATGAAAGTCTGCGCCACGACGGATAAACACGAGTCCACGATATTGGACTTGTGTATATCGAAAATAAAGTTTGGATTTTTTATGAGATTAACCCAAAACCTTAAAGGAAGGGAATTGCTCTTCCACGTGTGTACCACTTCGGGGTCGGATATGCCATGTTGGAGAGCTTGGTCGTCCATGAAGTCAAACATATATTTGATGGCGAGAGGAAGCGCCGAGCCTCGATGGGCAGTACTAAATATGGTCTCAAACAGATCGTCGACAAATTTCTGAAGTGTACCCTTCGTTGCCAGTAACCTCGTCA